CACAAATTAGTTAGCATAAATCAGTTAAATGACGAAAAATCAGGTGTCTATTTACTTGTGACCACGCTGTGTACATTCAGTTCTCTTAGTTGCTGTTCTAGGGTTTGGAAAACGAGAAGACACCAGGGGTGAAGTCTAGGAGGTTTTGGTTTTTGGAAGAAAATCTTTTGAAAGTAAAAACTGAAAATAGGCTGTTAGAAACGAGTTTAAAAAAACTTGTATCTCAATGTAATTAGTTCTGGGATATTTTTTGGACAAAACCAAACTTTTCCATTTAAAAAAGGTCCACAAAACATCACATTTGTAGTAAAATTGAAGAGATAACTCAAGGCAATGTGTTGAAATGGAAACTTTTGTTGTAAGTCCGCAGACACCGCTGTGCCACTGGGGATGGGGGGGGGGGGGCAAATGAAAACACAAGTAGAGGTAACCCCACTACTATAGCCTGAATGTTATTCTGTTTGAAAATATAACTTTTTTAGAAATTTTCTATTTATAAGTAATTAAACTAGTATTATTTTCATCCAATTTTTTGTTAGTGAAAAAGTTTAAATATTTTCATCTCATTATACAGTTCTACAAAGTAGAGTTTAGAGGGATTTTACTCCTACTTTGCATTTTTTAGGGATAATTTGATTTATTAGGTAATTCAAAGTTAATTTACTCAAATGATTAGTTTAGATTATTATTGTAAGTAGAATTACATTTTACACTAAACAAACCGCTAGGCGAAGTTTTGCCAACCAGCGTACAAGAAGATAACCTTTATATCTTAGTCTGAACAACACATACAGATATTGGTATCAATACCCATACTAAACTTGGTAATTCTGTTTCTCTGTATGTGGTGACCACATAACTATGTACATATGTATACAACATTAAAATTCCAAACTAAAGGTCCGCCATATATATATATATGTAGAAGTTTACATCTGGTATGTTACATCTGTTTCAAAGTAATTACTTCTCGATAAAGCCAAATAATTACACATTTTACAGTCGCTTACCTTTCATGAAGTCTCATATTTTGGTTGTATAATGGCATAATTTTCCTTTCTTATGCTTTTGCTGAGTTATCGTAATAAGATAATATCTTTATTTGTTACTTTCTTCTAATTCAAACATTAATATTATTAAAATATGCCTGCTTACCGAGGGAATCAAACGTCACCAAAAGATCGTTTTTATCGATGAACCCATCTTTATTGTTATCTATTAGCTGGAATGCCTATTAAAACAAATAAAATAACAGCAAACTATATTACAGTTAGAGAAAACAGGTGAGAAAATGTAAATGGTATTACCAATTTTATAAGAACAAAAAATATCCTAATCATGTTACCTAGATAACATTCACAGTAAATATATGAAAATAGTTAACTAATCAACTACAACAGCAGCTACAGAACAATTGTAAAAGTATATTCAATAAATGTTCTTATACAGAGGTAGGAAAATGTATAAGAATATGCAAAAAATGTGATCTATGTTTTCAAAAAGACTGTTAAAGATAGTATCAAAATACATAATAAAGTTGCCTAAACAATATTCACTGCAAATGTCTTAAGAAGTCATAGCTTAGAGTGTATTCCTTGTTCTAATTTAAACTATAAGAATTGTTATAGCTTACCATCTCACCCTTACACTAATTAAAACTGTATGAGTTGCCATAGCTTACACTGTAATCTTTGTACTAATATAAACGGTATAAATTATCGTAACTTACCCTTATTACCAATTTAAACTGTCGTAGATATTATAGCTTATACTGTAATTCTTGTGCTAATTTATACTGTAAGAATTGTCATACTTTACCATTAATTAAACTGTAGGAGTTGTCAGAACTTACACTGTAATCTGCAATCATCGTACTAATGTAAAGTGTAATAATTCTTGTAGCTTATCATATAATGTTCGTTTAAGAAATGCTGATTACTACTGAGAGCTATTACCTCATGTGCAACTGCCAATGAATTTCCAGTGTATGCCACGTACTTTGAACTGTATGTATTGCACCAGCCTATGATGTAGTCCTTTAATAGGAGAGCGAAATAACGTCCATGCGAAGTAATTTCTTTGAGCACTAGTGCATGATCATAAGCTCAGATGTGTTTTTCCTGTGCTTTTCGGGCATTTTTTTCCAATTCACTTAGGCAACTGGAAGCAACTTTCTGTTCATAGCACTGACGTTCAGTTGTTATCTATTTAGCTCACTTAGTAGATCACGTGTCTACATGTGACAGGCCTCGAATTTCACTCAATTGCGGAGTACTATCAACATCGTGGATAACTTAAATCATAACAGTCTTATGGAGCTGTGTTGAACCATGATGTAGCATTAAGTTAACTGATGATGTTCCCGTTATCATCCATCAGGTGTTTGATTTCCTTCTGCCTACTTCTCCAGTTCAGGTCCCTTGTTCTATTTCATTATCTTCTGTGATGCCTGCATTGCCTGTGCATTATTTTTTCAGTTCTTTCACATCCAGCCTTTACTTCTGGCTCCTCTTTACTTGATGAGAAGAACCTTTTTTTCTGTTTACTACACTTATAAATCAGACATGTGTTATTCTATCTCTTTGGTAGTTTCTACTTCATGAGAATTCTTCTGACCAAATTCCAGGCTGCTCCTCATCCTTCTGGTTTTATTCGTCTTTGTGTCTCCGTTATATTTCTAGAACTCCAATATCTTGTGTTATTTCTGTCTACTCGGGGAGTTCCTCATTCTCCTTCTTTGTCTTTTCTTTTCAGCTACCTGCTCATTTTCGTCTTTTTTTTTTCCCTACTCCTTAGCTTTATATCCTTCACCTTCTCACTGCAACTCTTCAGCACAGCTGAGATGGTTATGATGGGTTCATCTTTGTTTGCTATTTTGGCTTATATTTCCCAGATTTTTATGTGTGGACCGGAGTTTTTACAGTAGGTGTCTGTGACTTGTTGGTGATAAATTTGAACAATAAACAAACAGCACACAATCCACTTGTTTTAAAATAATATATTAAAACAAGTCAAACCTATATACAAATGTTTGTTACACTGTTGGTTATCACAGTTCTATCTAGAGCTTTAAATAATTGTTCTTTTTTCGTCAAAGTCCACACAGGTCGGTTCAATTAGTTTAGAACACAACTGACAAGACGAATTATTCTTCCTGCTCTGTTAGTACAATACAATCTGTGATAATTTAACTTTAAAACCACCACTATAACGTTGGTTACCATAGCTGTATCCAGGGTTTTAAATAGTTCTCTCTTTTTCTTTATTTTTTTTGTCAAAGACCAAACAGACTGGTTCAATGACTTTAGAACACAATTGTGATAAGCTATCAATTCTAAAAATAACTAAATTTAACACCTGCATTAAACGATATTTATTTCTCTGTTGTCATTATTTTTATCTAGTTTCTATGTTTTTGGGATATCCTCTGTTGCTTTCCTTTTGGGTTTCCACATCCCTTCCTCTTTTATGCATGACCTTCGTCTCACTCCTTTTCTAACAGACCAGGTCCTTTGGGGTGATACAGACTTTTTGAAATCTCATGCCAAGGCTGCTCTCCAGCAATTTTCCTTTGTTGTCTTGGTTTTCTGACTCTGTTCCACAAATACCTTTATCTGCTAACCACCTTAAAGAGACACGTTAGGCTAAACCGTCTTCTGTACCTCGTCCAATTATTTTGTTTGCCCCCCTCTTCCACAGGGTTGGCCATCTGGCCCCATCTTAACAAGATTCGGCAATTGCTACCTTCATTTTTCTTCAGGAGGCATCTCGCCTGAGCTGGGTGGTCGAACTTTCTAAGTACATTTTTGGCTACCATTTAGTATCTTGTCCCCTAAGGAGTTTCCTCGTTTTCTGAGTGGGGCGAGCTGAACTCTCTCCCTTGTGTCTTTATGCCATGGTGATCTTGATGTCCAAGGCAATTCTCTCTCCTGTTTTGCATGCACAAGAGATTCTCTCATCTCTCTCATTGGATTTTTGAAGACTCCTTCTTCTCTCGTAGGCCTGATCCCTATTGGTTATGCCCATGTTTTCCTTTTCTTGGATTCTGGGGATTCAATGGAACATGTGCTGCACTTCTTTTTCTTTTACTATTGTGTCTGTACCTTCTTCTCTACATTCCCCGCTGTTGTGGTGGCCTGATTGCTCCAACACGACACAGGGTATTCCACTTCTCTCTCCTAGCTTAACTTGCATCTCTACATTGATGTCGCTCTTTCTGATTGGAGTTGCATTTGAACACCTCCAGTCTCTCTCCAGAGGATTGTTCGTTGTATGTCATCTTTCATGAGATCATAAAGGCTTATTAGGTTTGCCAACTTCTTTTGTCGCTGTTGTTGGGTCATCTCGTGTTGATTAATTTAGAGAATTGTATAGCCATTTCTTTCATCAACTGCCAGAAAGACACCAACCATTGGGACCTATGTATTCTCATTCTGGAATTCCTTTATTGGGCATATTATCATTATTTTCCCATGTCATGGCTGTGGGGTTTTTTAATCTGGTGGCAGATCACTTGTCTTAACTGGACAGGATCCATCCCACAGAATGATCCTTGCAACTTCCAGTGGATTTCTTCCTATTTTGAGTCTCCAGTGATCGATTCTTTTGTTACTTCCCTCAATTCCACGTTCCCTCTCTTTTGATCACCAAACCTGGACTCGATCTGTATAGCTGTCGATGCTCTGAGCTGGATTAGTCCAATCTCTTTCTCTAATTCTACCCTCTTTCTGATCTCATGGACTTCTTCAAGGTTCTTTTTTCTTCTGTTCATTGACCCCTTTGTATGGCCTTTCTTCTCATTTGGGACCTTTTTGTGATTTTTCATACTCTTAAATACCCCTTTTAAGTCTTTGGCTTCATGTTCTTTGTTTCATTTGTTTCTTGAGGCATATTTTATCCTTCTCTTTGCTTGTGGTAGAAGTAGTTCAAACATTTACAACCTAGACATCTCCCATTCTCTCTCATAGATGCTGCTTGATGTTGATTCCAGACCTCTTCTTTCTTCTGGCTGCCCAGAATGTTTTATCCTATCTTTCTACCCGCTATTTCCTCATTTTATAATCTTACTGATCCTGATTGTCTTTTGTGATCTGTATGGGCTATCCATTGCTGTCTTCTTATGACTGCTCTTTTTCAGAAAAATTGCTATAAGCTGTTTTTACCTTGGTAGACTTCATCCTCTTAGGACATGTCCCCTTCTATTTTCTTTGGGTTAGGCTGACTGTACACTTTTTCGTGTCTTCTCCCACCATATTTGGCATACCAAAGCCTCTCTTGGCTTTTTTTGTTACCAGCATTTGGTGGAGATCTCTTATAGGCTGTATGTGGACTACACTTAACACATTTACTGCCTATTACTTACATCATTGGGCAGTTTCCCGTGCCTCTGGCTTTGCCTCCCTTCATTTACCATTTTTCAGTTCACCCAGAAGCTCTACTGTGGTGAGTTTTGCCTGTTGAGTTTTCAGTCATCTCCATGTCCTTTATACACTTCACGGTACCCCCATGTATGTGCTATTTTTGTGCACTTTCTACTACATTAAAAATGCTCACAAAAATATAAAATAGGTGGCAATACACACCAGACTGGACATAACATGAGAAGATAACCACTACATTCCTTAACTTTGGTGACTTCGAATCCCACCCAATGGCTGGTATTGCCTCACAAGAAATACTTACCTGAAATCTATCATACTTCAAGCAGTGGATAACAGAAAGTGTTATACCAATTTGCTCCTGCTCAGTGCTCATTATTAAGATGGAGTATTCTGCAAGACTGCCTTGGCAGAATGCACAACTGACATGGATGTTTTTTCACCTTTTACAAAACAAAAAATAAAAAACTGACAGCACTAGGTGTAGTTTCGCCCTTACACCTTGCTTTCACTTGCTGTCTTTAGTCATAGTAATTCATTACACTATCTCTGGGTAGTAACCCGATTCCAGATAATTGTGTTTGAAGACAGTAGTTCATACACACACTCCGGTGTTCTCTCCACCACGTATTCTTTCCCCTCGTTTTTTCTAGTGGAGAATGGGAGAACCCTTACTTCCCCAGTCACAAGCCACTGGGGAGGTCGATAGGAAGAGTTGCCTCTGTGAATGGTACCTTCCTCCCAGTAAGAGACCAGTTTGGCCCACTCATTTAAGATGAAGTGTTTACACTTAACTGTTTGTATTAATCTGTACTGAACTCTTGTAACAAGGTAACTGTTAAGTAAGTCAAACAGCAGTTTGGTAGTTTTTACTAACTTTGCTCTAATACTGAAGTAGTAATTTACGTTGTAAATGTTATAGTATTTTATATTATAGGTATTATAATAATGTACAGCGTAATTACTGTAGTAATTTGAACTGTAACTAAATATGCTGAAAATTGCATTTTACGGATGATTAGGGCTTTTAAGATTTAAGAAGTTAAATACGCACACAAAAATTTCATATGATTTAAAAAGCAACACGTAATGAAATACAAAATATGTTAAAGTAAGATAATATAACGAATCGTCTTCAAAAGAGAGATTAAAGCAACTGTCAAAAGCAGATCTAATTATGTTGGAACTGAATTTTGTATGATTCTCTGTGAGTGTAGTAAGATGATATGATGTTTGTATGTTAACTTAGTAGTTGTGTTTTTTTTAACCTAACATTAATAGTTTAGTTAAATATATTTCTAGACGTAAAATATGGAAGAATCACTATTAATTTCCCATTAGAATTAAAAGGGAATTTTAGGAATAGTTCCAAACTGTTGCTACAGATAGTTGGTAACAGCATTTCTAAGTCACCTCTTTGAATTCGGCTATCTGGTTCTGTTCAAACATAGCAAAAACATTTGAAGTCGCTCGTGCAGCCTTCTTCTTATGGGACTCTCCCTTGCCTTTCTTAGACTGTAAAATAATGAGTAGAAAATTTAAAATAAATTGGTTGTGTTTATTAGACAGGAATATTTTGAATAAAATAAACTTAATCATGCACGTTTTCTTTTTTTTTTACATTGTGCTTTTTACACAATATATATATATATATATATATGGTTTTATCTAATTGATAAGATTTATGTTGATGATTACTTCATTTATTGTATTATATCTTTTGTAAAGCATATATCTGGAGTTATAACATCTTTTTTCTAAATTAGGTTATTACTGGTAATATCACATCTGTGAGTTGTTTTAACAATCTAGAAGTAGGTTAAATATACTAAAGACGATAATGAAATGTGATAAAATACTTCGAATTTAAAAAAAAATATGGAAATCGTTTCAAATGAGAAAGAAATAGTAATGTAAATATACATATATAATTTCCCTTAAAAAGTGGATTTTCCATATATCTATTTTTCTAGAGTTGCATTTTTATATTTAACATACAGGATAAATTATATTTAGCATATTAAAAATATAAAAAAACTGGTGCTTGACGAGAAAAATCTATCTTTGCTAAACACAACTCAACTTCATTTTCTTTAATACTAATATATATTTTTGTTCTTAAGAGTTTATTAAACTTTAATTAATCACACATTCTTTGAAGAAGGAATAACGTAAGTTGCCTACCATCAACTAACTAACTATTTCACAGTAAAATATGTTCATTATTGATTAAGAAAATGACAACTGGTTAAAAAACCACAGTTAATCCTTTCAATCACAAACATATACTTTTGTTACAAGAGGAGGATTATGGTTTTACGACTACAACTAATCTTCTCTTCCTATCAAATGTTCAAGAGTTCCTAAATGAGAAAAAATATGCTTTCAAATCTCATAGCTAATCCTTACCTACTAACAAACGTTCAATATTTCTTACGATAGTGAACTTTGGTTAAATACTCACAGGAAAATTCTTTTTAACAAACGTTTAATGTCTCTTACGAAGGTGAGTTAACTAACGTTCAATGTTTCCTATGACGGTGAACCTTGATGTAAATCCAACACTTTTTACCAAACGTTCATTGTTTTTTGTGGAGGTGAACCTTGGTTAAAAGCCACAGTTAAACCTTTCATATTAACAAACGTTCTTAGTTTCTTATGGAGGGGAACATTGGTTAAAAATAACTATCTGATCAATTCCTGTTAACAAACGCCCAGTGTTTCTTATGGAGGGTTACGTTAGATAAAAACCCATAGATCGTCTTTTCCTATTAAATAAACGTTCAACGTTTCTTATGAAGGTGATCCTTGGTTAAAACCCATAGTTAAAAATATTAGTTTAAAACTCACAGCTAGTGCTTTTTTTTTGTTAATAAACATTCATTCTTTTTTTTTTTTCAGATGAATCTTGGTTAAAACCTGTAGTTAATTCTTTCCTATTAAATAAACCTTCAATGTTTCCTGTGGAGGTTAACCTTGGTTAAAAGCCACAGTTAAGCCTTTTCAATAAACACCTTAAATATTTATTCTACATGTGAACCTTCGTTAAAAACTCGCAGTTAATACTTTCCTATTAACAAACCTTCAATGTTTCTTTTGCAGGTGAATTTTGATTAAAAACCCACATCTAACCCTTTTCTGTCAATAAATTTATAATATTTTCTATAGCGGTGAAACTTGGGTTAAAAACCAATAGTTAATCCTATATTATTAACAAACGCCCAGTTTTTGCTAATCAGATGAACTTCAGTTAAAATTGACATTTAAACCCTTCCTCAAACAAATGTTTAGTGTTTATTATACAGGTAAACTTTGGTTAAAATCTATAGTTAGTCCTCACCTACTAACAAATGTTTAGTGTTTATTATGCAGGTGAATCTTGGTTAAAACCGACACTTAACCCCTTCCTACTAACAAACGTTCAATGTTTCTTATGTATTTGAACCTTAGTTAAAACTCACGGTTAGTCCTTACATGCTAACAAATGTTTAGTGTTTATTATGCAGGTGAATCTTGGTTAAAACCGACACTTAACCCTTTCCTACTAACAAACGTTCAATGTTTCTTATGTATTTGAACCTTAGTTAAAACTCACGGTTAGTCCTTACATGCTAACAAACGTTCACTGTTTCTTATACAGGTGAAAATTGGTCAAAACTCACTGTTAATACTTTCCTATTAATAAACGTTAAGTGTTACTTAAAGAGGAAAATTATGCCCGTGCAATCCACAGTTAAATATTATTTCAACTTAAAACATTGTTATATAACGTCAATACATTCTGCAGTTAAACCGTTATCATATGTTTATACTAACTGGCGTACCCGTCCCCTAGACGGAAGGTATATAAATATATTAGGACATGAAAAGCTGCTTCCATATATGTAATTATAAAAAACGCAAAAACGCCCATAAAAGCTGC